CAAAAATTCCAGAGATTGTTGATTTAAATGTGAAAGGCAAACAATAACAGAAAATCACGTACATTATCTTCACACAGGGATACAAAAACTCCTAATTACAAAGGAAAAGTCAGAAATGTTCAACTACATTAAAATTAAGATTTTCTTTAATCAGAGAAATGCAAATCAAAACTACAATGAGATACCATCTCACTCCAGCTTAAACAGTTTTTATTTAATTTAATTTTATTTTTTTTGAGACGGAGTTTCGCTCTTGTTACCCAGGCTGGAGTGCAATGGCGTGATCTCGGCTCACCGCAACCTCCGCCTCCTGGGTTCAAGCAATTCTCCTGCCTCAGCCTCCTGAGTAGCTGGGACTACAGACACGCGCCACCATGCCCAGCTAATTTTTTGTAGTTTTAGTAGAGACGGGGTTTCACCATGTTGACCAGGATGGTCTCGATCTCTTGACCTCATGATCCACCCGCCTCGGCCTCCCAAAGTGCTGGGATTACAGGCTTGAGCCACCGCGCCAGGCCTAAACAGTTTTTATTAAAAAGATAGGCAACAACAGAAGATGGTGAGGGTGTGGGGGAAAAAAAATCCCACTGCTGGGTATACACTCAAAAGAAAGGAAATGAGTACATTGAAGAGATTTCTGCACTCCCATGCTTACTGCAGCACTATTCACAATAGCCAAAATATGGAATTAACCTAAGTGTCCATCAATAGTATGAACGGATAAAGAAAATGTGGGACTTACACACAATGCAGTACTATTCAGCCATCAAAATGAATGCAATCCTGCCATTTGCAACAACATGGATAAAAGTAGAGTACATCATGTTACGTGAAATAAGCCAGGCACAGAAAGACAAACATTGCATGTTCTCACCCGTATATGGGAGCTAAAGAAAAAAACTGAACACATGTAGACAGAGTAGAGGACAGTAAGGCAAGTGGGAAATAAGGAGGGATGGGTGAATGGATACAAAAATACAGTTAAAAAGAACGAATAAATTTAGTGTTTGGTAGCACAATAGGGCAACACAGTTAACAGTAATTTATTATATATTTCAAAATAATTGATAGACTAGAATTGGAATATTCCTAACATGAAGAAATGACAAATGCTTCAGGTGATGGGGTACTCTACCCTAATTTGATAATTATGCATTGCATGCTTGCATCAAAATACCACATCTACACCATTAATATGTTTGGTTATTATGTATCCGTAATAATTAAAAATTAAAACTAAAAATTTTTCTGTTAGCGAAGAGATACCTTTAAGAGAATAAAAAGGCTAGCCACTAGCTAGTAAAAGATAGCTGCAACACAGATACCGGGCAGGGAGGGGAGGGGATCAATATATTTATCCTTTATACAAACCAATAAAACAAAGAACACCCACCAGAAAATTAGGCAAAAGACTTCAATGAGCTCTTCAAACAGAAGACATCCAAATAGTTCCCCCCCCAAAAAATTAAAAGACTGTTTAACCTCATTAGTAATCAGAGAAATGCAAATTAAAAACAAAGTGGAGTGTTAATTAGTCCAACCACTTTGGAAAACTGTTCTGTCGTTTCTAATAAACACTCACCTACCCCATGACCCAGAAATACAATCCTAGATATATACCCAAGAGAAATAAGTATAAATAAGAATGTTCATAGCAGCTTAATTCACAATATCAAAGCCTAGAACCAATCAATAAGAAAATGAATTTTAAAAATGTAATATAATCATACAACAGAGCTCAGCAAGAAAAAAACAGTAACCAACAACTTGGATAAATTGCAAAAAAAAAAAAAAAAAAAAAAAAAAGCCATTATGCTGGACAAAGGAAGCCAGGCATAGCAGAGTCCATGCTATTTGAGCTCATTTATGTGAAGTTCAAAAACAAGCAATATGCATGTATAGTGGCCAAAGTCAAAATAGTGTGAATAGAATAGCAGCTTCTTTCTGGAAAAGAGCATGAGAGGACTTTCTGGGGTGATGGGAATATTCTATATCTGGTTAGTGGTTACATAGATACATTTACATGTAAAATATTCTTTCAGGCGGTACATTTTCATATTTTATTGTATATGACATATACCTCAGTTACACACAAAAACCCATTATGTACCTACCAGAATGGTTAATAAAATTTAACAGATTGACAATTCTAAGCCTTAGCAAAGCGGTGGATAAGCAAGAATTCTCTCACACTGTTGGTAGGAATCTAAACTAGTGCAATCACTTTGGAAAATAGTCTGGCAGTACTAAGTAAAACTGAAGACATACAAAAATGTTTATAGCAGCAGTATTCATAATTGCTGTAAACTGGAGACAAATATCCATCAGAAAGAGAGTGAAAACTGGGCATGGTGGCTCACAACTGTAATCCCTGTACTTTGGGAGGCCAAGAGAGGTGGATCACCTGAGGTCGGGAGTTTGAGATCAGCCTGGCCAACACGGTGAAATCTCGTCTCTACTAAAAATACAGTAATTAATGGAGAATGGCAGTACACATCTGTAGTTCCACCTACTCAGGAGGCTGAGGCAGGGGAATCGCTTGAACCCAGGAGGCAGAGGTTGCAGTGAGCCAAGATGGCGCCATTGCACTCCAGCCTGGGTGAAAAGAGTGAAAACAGTCTCCAAAAAAAAAAGAGAGAAAATGAATATATCAATTGTGTTAGATTCCTAATAGAGTATTATTCAGCAATGACTAACAAACTACAGCTCCATAAAACACAGGTGAATCTCACAAAATGACACTGAGTGAAGCAGCCAAATAAAGAAAACAAACTCAACTGTTCCATTTATATAAAGTTCAAAGAGCAGGGAAAGCTAAACTACCAAGTTTGGGTGCGATCTTAGAAAAGCAAGAAAATTACTCTCACAAAAGTCAGGAGAGAGGTAACACTTTTGAGGAGGAGGAGGCATATAGTTGATTAGGGGGAAGTTAAGGGAAGACTTTCAGGAGCACTAGCATTGGTCCATTTAATGACCTGAATATAGGTTACAGGGTTACACCTTGTTGATTACAACAACAAAAGATGCACCGCTCAATGATTTTTCTGTGTGTATGTTTTTTTTCTTGAGAGGGAGTCTCGTTTTGTCGCCCAGGCTGGAGTGCAGTGGCACAATCTCAGTTCACTGCAACCTCTGCCTCCTGGATTCAAGTGATTCTCCTGCCGCAGCCTCCCAAGTAGCTGGGATTATAGGCACCTGCCACCACACCCAGGTAATTTTTTGTGTTTTTTAAGTAGAGTTTGTTTCACCATGTTGGCCAGGCTAGTCTCCAACTCCTGACCTCCGGCAATCCACCCACCTCGGCCTCCCAAAGTGCTGGGATTAAAGGCGTGAGCCATCATGCCCAGTCGGTGATGCCTTTTGTTAAGATAGTAAACGGCATTTTTAGAGGAAGAATATGAAATAAATCTTGGACATGCTGAATTTAGAATACCTTTTAGACATCCAAGTAGAGATGTCCAATAGGCAATTAGGTATTAGCAGATTGAGTTCTCAACAGCAGAAGTTGGGGTAGAGATGAAAGTGTTGGATTTGCCCATGACTGAGGCCATGGACATGGCTGTGACTGCTTAGGGAAAGAAGAATGACACAAGGGCCTAGGGCTGATGAGTGGAACATCAACATTTACTGGCCAAATACAGGAGAATAAGCCAGCAAAAAAAAAAAAATAAAAGAGAGAGTGGTAGGAGGAAAATGAAGAACATGTCATGAACCATTAAGCAAGAGGAAAGAGGGTCTCAAGAGTAAGAAGTCACTCTCTGCAGGTTGGTGTGTAGCTGAGGAGCGGCAGGGGGTTGGAGGGGCATGGATTGTGTGTAATTCTCAGCAAGTCAGTTGTTACTCCACCTCTTTCTGGCTGATCTGACACAGGCAACAACCCAACAGGAAACCAATGCTTCTGAGAATGGCTGCAAGTTTTGTTTTGTTTTGTTTTGTTTTTTTTTTTGTTTGTTTTTTTTTTTTGAGGCGGAGTTTCACTCATGTTACCCAGGCTGGAGTGCAATGGCTCGATCTCGGCTCACCGCAACCTCCGCCTCCTGGGTTCAGGCAATTCTCCTGCCTCAGCCTCCTGAGTAGCTGGGATTACAGGCACGCGCCACCATGCCCAGCTGATTTTTTGTATTTTTAGTAGAGACGGGGTTTCACCATGTTGACCAGGATGGTCTCGATCTCTTGACCTCGTGATCCACCCGCCTCGGCCTCCCAAAGTGCTGGGATTACAGGCTTGAGCCACCGCGCCCGGCTGGCTGCAAGTTTTTATGTGCTGTCTTTTGAGGTGAGAAATGAAGCCTGAGCTCTTCTTTCTCCTGATTCTCAGGAAGGAAGAAGGCAGATGTGAGAACACTGATTGGGTCTGTGTGTCACTGGGAAGCATCACTGTTAAAAGGTCAGCACACAAATGCAAGCTCACTTTTCTCCTTCTTCCATGTGGCTGAAGTGGTTGAGAAGGTTGTCATTCCCTCCTGTACCCCCCACTGTCAAGGATAGCCAGGGCCAAACCTACTGCTTGGGCAGAAGAGGCCAGGGCAGGTATCCAAGGCCAGATAAGCAGTCAGCCAGGGCAAACGGGCTGGCTCTGGTTACACGACCCAGGGCAACTGACAGAAAGGAGTTAAATGTGGGGAAGATCTCAGTGTGTCTGAGAACTGGGGAGATGAAAAGGGTTCATCTCATGGCCTGCTTTAGTTTGAAACAATTTAAGCTTAACTAGATTCCAAAAAACCCCAGCATTTCCACATGAGCTAGCTGGGCTCATTCCAGTCTTCTACCCTGGAGTTTGCTGTCCAAGTCCTGGTTAAGAATAAAATACACAGGTCCTTTTGTTTTCCATTTGTCAGGGCAAATATTTAATACAAATATTTCTCCCATAGACCCTAGAGACTTGAAAACAGTGGCTGCAGATTGGAGACAATTCTGATATTCCAGGAATCCCTGACTAGAATAATATGAAATTGCCATAATTTCTCAATTTCTAGTACCACACACAGACATTCCTTCAGACACACACACACACACACACACACACACACACACACACACACACAGAGACAGAGGCAGGCTTACCTTCCTCTCAGAAAATTGCACAGATTCAACAAGAATAAATAGTAATTAATGTGTTCCTTAATGGCTAGTGAATAACAATGTTAACTAAAACAAAAACAAGTATTATTTTTAAACCCACTATTGCCCCCCCACCAAATATTTAAATCATGAAGTCTAAACTGACAGAACAGCAAATTAATACAGTCCTTTGGGAGGGAAATCTGGCTCTAGTTACATGACCCAGGGCAACTGACAGAAAGGAGTTATTAAATATATATATTAAAAACCAATCCTGTTATTTGTTGCTTTTTTAAAAAAAAGACAAAAAATAATTACAAGGGACCTGATCCAAGAGGCCGTTTAGGAACAGCTCAGGATCGCAGCTCCCAGTGAAAGCGCAGAGGGTGAGTGGACGCCGCGTTTTTATTGCCCACAGACTAGGAAATTCCCGGGCAGAGGTGCTCCACGGTCGCCAGCGCGGCTGTGCCGGCCAGCGCCGCCGCTTTGCCCCGCGGGGCTGCTTTGTCAGCGCCCCGGAGCCGCGGTTCTCCATACAAAATACACCGGTCCGGGGGCCCTTTTGGCTGGCAATTGGAGCCACGGGAAGTCGCCCGTACCCCGGCTCAAAAACGGGACTGAGCAGAGAACCAGGACAGTAGATTCCAGGGCAAAAAAAAAAAAAGGGCCACAAACCTCAGTGCCGCTGTTTAAGCCAGCGCAGTGAGTGGCCGCAGGGGAAAACAAACAGACCCCGGTGCCTCTTCAACAGGCGACTGGAACACCAATTTAAAAAACGCTCTGAGGCAGGGAGCCAGGCGATCAGGCTCGGCTGGTCCCACCCCCACAAACGAACAGCAACCAGAAACTCTGGATTGAGAGTTTCACAGCAAGCGCAGCTGAACCCCGGACGGTCCAGCTCTGTGGGGGTGGGGCGTCCGCCATTACCAAGGCAGCCCGCCGTTGCCAAGGCAACCCGCCACAGCAGAGACTCCACACCAACAGAGGCGGGCCACCATCTCCAAAGCATTTCTAACTACACCCATATAAACAGGACTGTAGGGAAGTTCACTCGTCAGCTGGGCGGAGCCCACAGCAGCTCAGCAAAGCTGCTATAGGCCAACAGTGAATAGGCTGCCTCCTTGCTGGGCTGGGCAGGTCTGAAGGAGGGAAAAAAAAAAAAAAAAAAAAAAAAAGAAGGCGGCAGCATAATGGAAACTCATAAATAAAGCCCTAAATCCCTGGGACAGAGCACCTGGGAACAAAAAGCAGTTTATGAGTACTGCTACAGCAGACCTAAAAGTACCTGCCCAGCAGCTCTGAATGAACAACAACAGAGCTCGCAGCTCACCTGAGCTCCTATAAAGAAGAGACCGTCTCCTCAAGCAGCTCCCTGACCCCTATATATCAAAAAAGACACCTCATAAAAGAGAGATCAGATTGACACTAGGGGGGTATCCTTCTGGGACAAAGATAGCAGAAGAAGAAAACTGGTAACAACCCTTGCTGTTCAGCAGCCGCTGCAGGTGAACCCCAGGCAAGCAGGGCCTGGAGTGAACCTCAGCAGACCTACAGCAGAGGGGCCAGACTCTCAGAAGGAAACCGAGAAACAGAAATAACCTCATCATCAACAAACAGACCGTCAATCTGAAAGATTTGAGACCCAATCTGAAAGCCAACAACCACAAAGTCGACAGGTGGATAAATCCTTAAAGATGGGAAGAAACTAGCGCAAAAAGGATGAAAACACCCGAAACCAGAACACCTCTCCTCCTAAAAGGGATCACAACTCCTCACCAGCAAGGGAACAAGGTTGGA